CCCGATTCCATAGCGAATTTCGTGGTCACCCTCAGGCAAAAGATATTTGGCTTGCAATTCTCCACGGCATAGTTTCTTCTTCTTCTTCTTCTTCTTCTTTTTTTTTTTTTTTTTTTTTTCGGTCGCATTGGGACTGCCTGGTACCTTGACGAGGACTTTGCCCGCGCCTGGCCTGGCCGGGCCACCTGGGCCAATCTGAGGCTACCCTGGCCGCCCGCCCCGGCTGGTAACACAGATCACAGATTGCATCTTCCTTCACCGATTGGCCCGGCATGTATTGTTACGGCCATTTACAGCCATTTACGCAGCTTCTGGAAGCTATGGGAGCATTGCTGCCGCTCGGCGATCGTCTGCTATCTGGGGTTCTGCAATTTGGGGATCGACAAAATTGTCTGCAATGTGGGATCGGCAAAAGTCGAGCCGGGAGGAGGAGGAGGTGGTTAGGCTTTTATCTTCTCTTTTCATCCGTCAAGAGCAAGTGATTTAAATTTCCAGAAGAATGGTTTCCAGCATTGGTAGGAACAGGGCCTTGCCTCCATCCACTGCCTACCAAATGTGCAAAATGAGAATGCATCTTCCGCAAGAGCATGGAAAGCTGCGCCGCCATATGTTTTGTCTTTTGTGCGCGTCTTGTGTAGTGGAGTGAGGCCCATGATGGTTGTTTGCTTGCAAGTGCACTGAGTGAAGAACGACAAATTTCGCAAGTTCGTATGTAGCATGAGAGGAGGTAGGTGTATAGCACTGTATAGTATACATTTCTGCATCAGATTCTTCCCAAGGAGTATGTGGCCTTAAGGAATAGGCAATGATTGTAGCAGTAAGTAAGGTTGTTTCATGTGTAACTGGTATCTGGTCTTTGCCTGAGACCAGATTCCTGCTAGGTAAAAAATGATTACGTTGAAAAATCGCAGCAGTCTAGAAAATTTTCATGGCTGTCAGTTCCAAGCCACAAGCCTGCAATCAGTACCGGTATCTGGTCGTTGCCGTAGGTAAAAATTGATTACGTTGAAAAATCGCAGCAGTATAGAAAATTTTCATGGCTGTCAGTAACAAGCCACAAGCCTGCAATCAGTACCAGTATCTGGTCGTTGCCTGAGACCGCAATCATGGGAGGGCTTCTCCGACCCCAATCAGGCAATATTTGTATCTGGTCTGTGGGTACGACTGCATGTGAGGGGCTTCTCAGCTTTCTTCTCCTAGTTCAGGTACGAGTCTTTTTAGCTCTCCCGGCAGGAAGGAGGGTTTAAATGCGAGCAACTCGTAGGTGAGGGAGGTGATACTGCCCACCACTCCCGTTGACGGCCCACATGTTTATAAGCGGTGTAAATGGGAGCAACCTGCAGGCCACAGATTTTGCAGGCGAGACGGGCAACCGAGGAGAGTGGGCTGTCAATGTTTGTGGCCAGTGTACAGAACTGCCAGCTGGTTATCCCTACGTCTCTGTTTGTGGATCCCTGTTTCTCTTCTGTGTTGCCTTGGCAAGCCCTGTGTGTGCATGCATGTCTGCATGTGTGTGTGTGTGCGTGCATGTCTGCATGTGTGTGTGTGTGTGTGTGTGTGTGTGTGTGTGTGTGTGTGTGTGTGTNGTGTGTGTGTGTGTGTGTGTGTGTGTGTGTGTGTGTGTGTGTGAGAGAGAGAGAGAGAGAGAGAGAGAGAGAGAGAGAGAGAGAGAGAGAGTGCGTGCGCGTTTAGATGTTGATAAGCAGTGAAGTTGTGGCATGTGTATAACTGGCGAAAGGTTGTTGGAAGTGCGATTTGTCGTCGTGCATGTCTTGGTAGTGTCAAGAATTGGTGCCTGATGAGTGGGGTGAATGTGGAGATTGAATGATTATGGAGTTGGATAGAGAGGAATGTGTGCATATCTCATGCTCTGAAGCCAGATCGGGGGGAAGGAGGGTGATATCGCTGGGGGGAAGAGGAGGGAGGGGGGGGGGAGGATGCGGAAGACTTGTTGCAAGCGATCAAATTGCAGAGATATCTTCCTGGGATTCTATTCTGCTGGGCGGGCTAGATTTTGCGGACCGACAAGCAAAAAATGCATGGGCGACGGTCTGCGTGTGGATGCCAGTTTCCATTTGTGTGTGCTTTGTAGTCACTTACGTAGCCTTCTTCTTCATGAGGAATGCAGATCAGGGCACTGCAGCAGCAGCGTTGCCGTCGGCACACGACGCGCTGACGAACTATGTGCTGACGAACTTTGGGCTACCTGCAGGTCTGCTTCCACTCACGGTGAAGGATTATAATGTGCAGTCGAGCTGCCATTTCGTGGCTCATCGCGACCGCCGCCATTGCTGTGACAAGCTTACGGGCGATACGCACCATTTACGGTGCTCGAAAGAGACCTGGGGTGCTTCAGAAACATCGCGCCTTGTCTGAAAAATCGGCAAAATATGCTGCTGGGTGGGTTATATTTTGCTGTGCTTGTGGTCTTGCTTGCTGCTGTACACTGTGCAGCTAGTTTTGCCAGGCTGCTTGCTCACTTCGTTGGCCGGTTGATCGATCGACTGGTCGAAAGACAAAAGGAGAGGAGAACATATGCAATGAAGTGATAGGTAGGATGCAGAGGGAAAGAAGACCGGACAAATGCGTGGCTAGAATATTGGTACATAGACTCTATGGAGTGATTTAACAGGTAGAATGGTAGATGGTGTCCTTCGGGACGTCCTTTAGGATTTGGGATTGGAACGATACAGAGAACATGAGCATGGCCCCTGCTAAGGATGGCACACAGAGATTGAGAAATGCTTTAGAATGTTAGAAGGATAGATCGGTATGTAGACACAATAGTACCCGAACGAGGTTCGTTGCTAGTTAGGTGCTCGCTTTTGATTATCAGCTCGAAGCATTGGAGTCTTGTGGCGGTCTGTCAAAAGCGAAACTGATGTGAACAGTCTCGGGTTCTTTCTTGTGCATGCAATACACTTGCCTTCTACTTCGATTCTCCTTCTCTGTTTGGTTACCTTTTTCCATTTGTCTTCGTCGTTTTCTCTGTTGTTAGGTTATGTACTTGCATTTGCTTTTATTTTCTCGTTTTCTCTGTTTGGTTATCTATGTCCATTAAGGTTTGGTTATCTGCTTCCATTTGTCTTTCATTTCTCATTTTTAAGCTGGCTCTGTGTGTGTGTGTGGAGATGTGTGTGGAGATGTGTGTGTGTGTGTGTGTGTGTGTGTGTGTGTGTGTGTAAACATACAAACTATCACAAATTCTATTCCCAGCATGGTTATAGACGATGCACCATACCATCACAACGCCGTAGGAGGACGACATGCATCTGAGTGAGTGGAGTCATTGGAGTTCTTAAAGTAATACAACGAACAAAAATGTAGAAGCAACAAGGGATGACAAGAGGAGGCAGAGCTAGGCACATAGCGTGGAGGTGGGAGGGCAGACAAGCAGCCCGAGGTGGTGAGGGAAAGACAGTGAGCCAAACAACAGCAAGGTGAAAGAGGCAAGGCAAAAGTAAAAAACACACAAAAATCACAAGTACAATAACAGCTTTCCACAAGGCCTTTCGGGGAAGGAGGGGGGGCGCTGGGGCGGCGACACGAGGGATGGCAAAGGGACTGGCGGATTCGGTGGGACGAGGGGGTGGCTGAGGGTGATGTACACCTGCCATGTCCGCCACCTCATCTCATTACAGCATTATGGAAGATTCCGTGGGGAAATGATGGGGGGGGTACAAACTAGCCAAACAAATAATCAAAATGATATATAAGCCACACCCTCCTTCAGAGTTTCTCGACCCCGTCCCGCCCCACCAGCTGGCTATGTCAACCTGCAATGGTACTGCGCAGATTAGATAGAACTACTGCTACTGGTCGAAGTTTCGCATTCCAACTTATCCCTGACCCGCCCGCCCGCTCACGCCCGCTGGCACGCACACACACACACACACACACACACACACACACACACATATATATATATATATATCGTCACAAACAGAACTGCCCGGTAAACCGTAGGCAGAGAGAGAGAAGAGGACAACAAACGAAGGGCTGTGACAAACTGTTTCGTCGGAGTTTCACCGACTCATCAGGAGGCTGAACCCTCAACAGTCTGCAGAATCCCCTCACTGATTACACTGTAAATGATAATCTACCTTAACCATAATGAAAGTAGACTATCACTCACCCACACCAGATGGAAATATATATATATTTGTCACAATCACTACCACGAGATGGTTTCTGCATCCATGTGYGTACAGGATTGTCCCTCCGTTCCTGACTGCAGGCACCCTCCTCATCCGGACACTATATGTCCATTTTGTGGCCACGGACGCTATGCTGAATGCATGCTCTTTTGTGGGGGGCGTTCTTCCTTTATTCTGGCCTGCAATAGACATGCTATTTGTCAGGAATGTATGGTTGGCATGCTTCATGCCAGTCGTCGTGGCAGTTGTTGTTTTGAGAATGCTCAGTTAGGTCTTCCATGCGCTCATCCACCCCATCCTTACAATGTGTGTCCTTTCTGTCGTCAAGGACAGCCTCATTCTTGAGCTTTTCCCTGTGTTTAACACCTTCCCCTTCACTCTGCCTCTCTCACAGCGTGCAAGTGGGCTGTTATGGCATACGGGGATGGGGGCAGCTCGCGCTCAACTTCATCAACGTGGCGAGCCTTGCACGTGAGAGGCACAGTGGAGGTGGAGTTCAAAGAAGAATGAGAAATTTAATGGTTTCAATCTGCCCTTGTTTTTTCTTTTTGTTTTTATTTTTATTTTTGTATGTTATCACTGTGCCCGTTTTTTGCTTTTATTCTTTGTTCCGCAAAGTGCGCTCTTTTAGTTTATAGTTATGTGACAATATATATATATATATATCGTCACAAATAGAACTGCCCGGTAAACCGTAGGCAGAGAGAGAGAAGAGGACAACAAACGAGGGGCTGTGACAAACTGTTTCGTCGTAAGTACCGCCGGCAATAGAGAAATCAATGCTGGACAGTAAAGGGATTGGCTCATCTGCTACAACACTTGGTTCTGTGAAATGAATAACATCTTAACACTGTTAACAGCAATTTCACGTGGCTGCAGCTGTAGGAGGGTTGGCGACTACGGGTAGGTAGCGATGCTGTTCTGGTGCCCAGCAGTAGGGATGGAGAGCCCCGTTCCGGGGCCTTCCCCCCCTCGTTCGATTTTCATCTTCCTGCTCAGTTAATCCCCTCCTTCCAGGGTAATCAATGCTGGCAGGCTTTCTCTGTTATGAAATCGTTGAGGTTCTGTGGGACGATGGACCTGGTTTCCAGCAGGTCCTGCTCACCACCAATAGATTGGAACCATTGGTGGAGCAGATAGGAGTGCATGGGCATGCCATCACTCCTAATCTGCTGCTGCTGGTGTTTCTCTCTCTCTCTCTCTCTCAAAAAAGAAAAAAAAGAAAAAAAAAGCCACGTGGCTTTTTTTGCTGGCGCTCAGTGACAAGTGAATGATAGTCATACGCCACGTGGCGCGTGCCCCAGAACATGCTGTGTCCGCCGATGTTTTTGAAAATTTATGTTCATCGTTGGAGACGGGCGGGTAGGCATGGCTTTGTAAAGCAGATACAGTAAAAAAAAATTGAGACCTGATGATGCCCGCATGATCGGAATTTTCTGTACATCGTTTGAGACAGGGGGGTATGGCCTTGAAAATCAGAAACAGTCCTTGAGACCAGACCTGATGAGTGGATGAGATAGGAGGGGGGGTAGGGTATTTCTCTGGATTGGAAGGGTCCGGAGATTCTATCGGTAGCTGGGTACATGATTGATTGAGCTTTTGCCACAAACTGGTGGGTCCATCATCTCAGTCTGATGGGTAGTTAATGGCTTATAACTTGCTCCGTCGTCTATGGCTTATAACTTGCTCAGTCGTCTATTGGTGGGGAGCTGCACGGGCTGGAAACCGGGTCCGTCGTCTATGGCTTATAACTTGCTCCGTCTTTGTAGTTGGGACGTTGGACCCGGTTTCCAGCCCGTGTGCAGCTCCCCACCAATAGGTTGGAGGCATCTATAACAGGGATAGCCTATTAGTATTGGAGGATGCTCTTATCACCCCCAATAATGTGCAGCCATCCTATTGACGTTTTTTCCAACGGACACATCCACCAATAGACTCAATAGGTTGGAGCATCCTCCAATGGAGGCTCTCCCGTGGATGTGTTTGTTGGGGGGAAAAAAAAACGGAAAAAAGAAACTGATGATATAGATTGTTTCGTCCGAGTTGCACCGACTCATCAGGACGCTGAACCGTCAACAATCGGTGGGGTTTCTGTATCGAGTCTATTGACGGTTTGGGTCATGAACCGTTTGACGGTTCGATCCACTGGCATCTTGAAGTCAGACTGTTGCCAAGTGGAACATAGCAGCACTGGGCAGCATGTCAGCAAAGCCACAACACTGCTTAGACAACGAAGCTGTAAGGAAATACAGAGCAAGCGGACAAGTCCCACGAGGCAACCCCAACAAAATCCCATTTCAACGGAACCAAAGCACTGATGAGGCGGTGTACAGCGGAACCTTTGTGAGATTGTATTACAAAACGAGTTTGCGAAAGTAGTGTTTCCTGTGATTTCTTGGACGGAGCAACTCTGCTGACGAGCCCGTGGGATTCAGACGCGAAGCGTCTGCTCTTCGAGCCTTTGCCAAGGTGGAGAAGGAACTCAGCAAAGCCACAACACCGCTTAGGCAACGAACCTGCAAGGAAAGACAGAGCAAGCGGACAAGTCGCGCGAGGCAACCCCAACAAGGTAGCCAAACTACACGGCACACAAGCAAAGGATGCGGAAAGCACGGCATGCCGATGGGCCTGCGAGGCACAAGGCAACACCAACACTGCATCCACACCACACAGCAGCTTGCAAAGGACGACATGCGATGCAAGCAGGATGGGCAGCAAGGCAGCAGCGGGAGCACAGATAAGGCAGTCTACACACTCGACACGGAGCAGAGCGGCACATCACCTACTCACATCATGGGTGAACCACACAAGACTGTCAGTTCCAACCACCCAATGAGACAGGGAGTCACACCACACGAACATCCATCGTCCATCCATAGTGCAGAGAGGCATCGTGCAGAGAGGCATCCCGAACTGAGCGCCCCAACCAACCAAGAGTGCCGAGTCACTCAAAGTGAGGAATAACCGACTATTTGGCACTGCTTAAGGGTGCCCAGCTCACCAAGAAAGCGTACGACAAGAGAACGACAAATGTACATACATTAAAGTGTGTGTGTGTGTGTGTGTGTGTGTGTGTGTGTGTGTGTGTGTGAAAACACATGTAGTACATCCTCTGCACAGAGACTGTGCGCCGTACTGACACAATATTACTTTCAGGAGGAAACACGCAACTGAGAGCATGTGTTCAGACTAGGACCTTTTTACCTATTTGTGGACGGAGTTGTGGCCTGATACATCCAGCTATGGCCGTAAATGCGGTCCGATACATTTGACATACTGCTAGTGTGTGTACGCCCTGCGTGAGTCGAGTGAACGAACAATCCTTCAAGACAAAAAAAATGAAGCGGATGTACTGCAGGTCACTCGACGTACACACGACGAAAAAAATGAAGACGAAAAAAGTCAAGTACAAGAGTGCACAGCAGACAAAAGAGAAAAGGCAACAAGACATGAAAAACGGTGATTCAGAAGTAAAGGACATAGGCAGGAGGGTAAAGGACATAGGCAGGAGGGCATGTGGGAGGCAGGTGGGAGGACGAAGAATATGACACAGCGAACTTCAAGGTGAAGGCTGAACAAAAGGCAAAATAGTGAGAGTGCTGAGAGGCCAAAAAGAGAAAGTTCTGAAAAAAAAAAAAAGCCAAAAAAATGAAAGCTGATGATGATGGTGGACTGGCTCGTCGGAGTTGCACCGACTCGTCAGGAGGCAAAATCCTTGACAATCAGGGTGCTTGGAACAGTGCTGGAACAATGGAACAGTGC